ACATACGTACATACATACATACATACATACATACATACATACATACATACATACATACATACATACATACATACATACATACATACATACATACATACATACATACACACATACATACATACATACTACATACTAGCTATATATTACATACACATACATTCCATTAACTCCTTCCTTCATTGCTTATTTATCTTCCATCTTGCGTTATACCACAGAGAAGAGATATACAGAGAGGAAACACGCGGCCAATTATGTCACGCCGATATATTCAGTCTATTAACTATAGAAAATTATATTAATTCACTATTTTATTAAATTTTGATAATGCAGAGGAATAAAACTATACCTATTATAGAAGTATTCATGTTTTTTTTATGCAAGAGTTGCTCTTTATTTTGAGGCATTTATATCATTTGCTGCTTTGTTTTTTATACATGAGCATCTGAAATTCCCAGCCAGTGCATTTCACGATTTTAATAAGGAGTAGATAGGGGAAAAAACAAACTTTTGCTAAATAAAATGTTATGTTAACACTTTTAATAAAAAGAAATCAATAAAAGTGATCGCTTACCGTTATTCTACAATAATTTATTGAACAACATTTCCATGGGTATCTCATTTTTTTAAAAAAAAAGCGATTTTCACCTTTCGAACGGCGTTTTCCCTATCTTTTGCTTTCGCTGGGAAATTTTGCGTGGCGCGTGGAACGTGTGACACAAAAATTGAGGTTATCGAGTGTCAGTTTCCTCTCTGTATATCTCTCCTCTATGGTTATACCTTCCTTCCCTTCTTCCTTTCTCCTTAATTTTCTACTTTTCTTCCTTCGTTCCTTCCTTCAGATCAGACATATGTACGTTTCTTCTTTTATTTCTTTTCCCATATAACGTTCGTCTTCCTTTCCTTAATTCCATCCTTTCTTCACATATTTTGCTTACTCACTACCTCACCAAATATTTACCATCTTATCATTTAATAACCCATATCCACTGATCATTTAACTATTTTCTCTTTGAGCCATTCTTACATTAATATCTCTCTTCATTTCCTATTATACAATTGCAATTTTTGTTGCGATTTTAGGTGTGATTTGAATGAATGGATAAGTTGTGAATGTTCAGACGATCCTACATACACTCTGAACATTGATAACTCTTCCACTCGTTCACATGCATAAGATCGGAGAAGAAAATCGCACCAAGTTCCTGCAAGTGTAAACGGGCCTTAACAAGTTCTCCCACAAGTTTTCTTCTGTTCCTTTTTCTTATTTTTAAAACTTACAATTTACAGTTAATTAAAACACAAGAACTTTCTCACTTCCACTTGACGTGTCTTGTCATTTACTGTATTTTGTGTTGCATTACTTTAGCGGCACCGAATTATAGAGAAATACTCGGTGACAAAGACAGATTTCGAACTTTTGTAATTGTTTGTTGATATATAGCAAATAACGAACAGGGCACAATCATCCTTAGTTGCAATTATTTTTATTTTCCATATTGAAAGGAAACTAAATCTTATGCCATATTTTCGCATAATGCTGCAGACGCCAGGAGGCCAGCATGGCTTATATCCAGACTTCTTGATTAGGAAGTGTTTCTTAATTTTCAGGTAGTGTAGCTGCCAATTTCCAGGAATAAGCGAAAGCTCCGTTCTCTTCATTAATGATTTTTTAATTTAACTTTTTATGCATGCCTTGTTTTATATGTGTTGACTGTTGAACCAAATCTAAGATGGTCAGTGCGCTTATTTTTACCCTATGACATAATATTACAATTTTACAGTATATTGATTGTAACGCCATTGTGGTTGGCATTACTTATATCTAAACATAAAATTTTAAGAAGTCACAACATTTAAGTAGCAAGACTCAAAAGATTAGAAACCTGCACGGCTTTGATCAATCTGCCTTCGTTTTTATTTGCCGTGTTTTCCCATTGTGGCCACGGTAACTACACGCCCAACACTGGCTTGTAGCTAAGACCCTGGACGCCAGGCCACTACGTCAGCCAGATTAGAACAAAACACAGTAAATGACAACATGCTAGCTACACAATAGTGATTGATCGATTGTACCATAATCGGAAATTACCGATTAATCGTGCAGCAATCTACCCGATATCGATTATATTATAATCAGTGCTGTAAAAGTTACTCATTTTTTGGAACTAGTTACTGGTAAAAGTTACACTTAAAAAAATGTAACTAGTTCCCGTTACAAAATTACTTCAATATTTTCGTAACTAGTTACAAGTTACTTCAAGTAAGAAAAAACCCAGTTTTTTTCAACTTAATGATTTGTGGTCAGCAGATTGACGTTAATTATTTGTAAACGTTATGTAACCTTACCACTAATGGATCTCTCAGCTGTGTTAAGCACTGAAGCATGCGTTGTCGTAGAAAACCGTGAGGAGAATTTCTAGAACTGAGAGGTGAATTGTAAGTTTTAACCGCAAGAATGTAACGAAAAAAGTAACGTAAACGTTGACTATAAAAGTAACGCGTTATCGTTTACAGTTACAGTTACCTTATTTTTAAAGGTAACTAGTTACCGTCACAGTTACTCAAAAAGTAACGATCACGTGTAATTTCGTTACTTGTAACGAAGTTATTTACAGCACTGTTTATAAATTATAATCATGTCATAATGTCGGTCGACCAAGTAAAGGTGACGTCATTCATTTTTAACGATAATTTCCAACATAACATGTTACTGCAACCAAATTTCGTTAAAACCGTTCATAAATGGCACTCTTCGCACATTAATTTCATTGCGGCAACATATTGCATTAAAAATCAACAATCGGGTGTTACACAATCGGAAATACAAATGATTCTACCGATTCCGATTGTCTACCGATCAGGCAGAAATCGGCCAGATACCAATATCGATGAAAACTGTAACGTCTGTCGTATTATTTTCTATCCTCAGAAAAAGTATAATGGTCGTACGATTGAGTATTCAGTGTCAGGGAGAGTTCACTCATTTAAAGAACCTTGGGTGTATGACGCAACAGCAAAAGATGTTGAAACTGGTGTGTTTGTGAAAAAGAAGCATTTCGAGACTGTTGATGAGGCAGTATATGAAGCAATTGAAGAGTTGGTCAAGAAGCTCAAGGAACGCAACATTTTACAAGTATAATTAACATATGGTAGACTATATACTATTTAAGAATAGTGTTTCCAAGCATACAGTTATAGAAACACGCTTCTCGACCAATCACCGCTCGCGTTCTATAAATATTTGGGAGCTTAAGCATGTAGGACGGCAACACGACGACGACGGCCAAAACAAATTCCTTCAAATAAATGATAGTAAAGAAAACTTGTCGTATATTATAATTCGTATGAATTTAATACAGTATGAGAAGTTGAAAACATTGGTTTTATGTTTGGGAAGAGTTCTACTGAACCGAATTTTAAGTTGCACTTGTTACGGCTTGAAATGCAGGCGTTGTATAAAAGACGTGAAAATCTGTGATTTGCCGTTGTAAACAGAGCAACGAGCACGTCTGAATCTCTTCTGGGACTTTAATTATTTATTTCTTTTCATTGACTCATTGTATTGGCTGCCGTCGTCGTCGTGTTGCCGTCCTACATGCGTAAGCTCCCCATTAGTGCTCTTGACGGTTATTCATGCATGGGTAGCTCACTTTTACGGTTTTTCGGTTGAAGGACGACGATGGGGACGAGTCCGACGAGATGATTTAGAGTGGAATGCTGGTCAAATAACTGCAGAAATTTACGTGCAACGTTCGTTCTAACGTTCTTGCTGTAGGGAGAATTGGACGATATCACCTTTGCCGATTTCTCTCGCTTATTGGTGAGTTGTTGCTGGTGTTGTTGGGCGAGTACTGTAAAGAGACGTTGTAGTTACTGTGGCTAGAGCGTTCTCTGTTACGAGGTTGCGTTTTCTAGCTGTGTGTCTTCCAGGGGCTCGACTATTTGTAAATCCTCGTTGTGAGTTGTGTGCTTGATTTACACAGTACAACTCAAGTTGTAGGCAAACGTTGTGTAGTGGAAATCGTCCTTATTAGGGACCGGTCATTAATAATGGGAGGGGGGGTGAGAAAAGAGAGGCGGCTTCAACTATTTTTGCCTGAATTGGGGGCGGCCTCAAACTGAAATTTTGTTCGACAAGGGGCGATCCTAATTTTTTAATACTTTCCTACTCATTTCCAATCTCTCGCCTTCACCTTTTTAGTTCCTATAAATTCTAAAAAAGTTCAATATTTGGTATTTATCACCCACCGCCCCCAACCCCAACCCCCCCTCCCATTATTAATTGAATAAACTTCATAGGAAATTATATTTGTTCAAAAGTGGAAACACATCTTAAAATTTAATTTCCCATTTTCCCATTTTCCCGCTTTTTATTTTCAAAATGGCTGCTTGCTAAAGAGTAAAATGGCGAAAGGCACCAATTCAAGTGCGAATAGGCCCCGCAAGAAGGGCAACTCTTTAACCTTTAGGACTCCGAAAGAGAAAAAACAGCGAAGACTAAAAATGAACGAAGGCTCCATGTCCTTGGCATCAAGTAGTAAAATAGAGAAGAGTAAAAGAACAGATTCTACACCTGTAAAAACATCGCGAGCAATGCAACGTGATAGAAGAGGTGAAAGCTCATCTATATCACCGTCAAAGGAAAATATTTCAGAAGTTGATGAGGTAATCTAAGATTTTGTTGGCATCTCACTAGATTGAATAATAGTAGAAGGGTATAATGGGTATTGTAGGAGGAAATTATCGAGTTTTAACTTATATACATTTATCAGATCTATTTAAACTAGAAACAACTGCGAAAAATGCAACTATAGGCACAGAATGAGACTATACAGAAGCCCGACTTATCAGGGCCGTTCCTAGACATGATAATTGGAGGGTGTATATTCATATAAAACAACCGCTTTCAAAAGAAATC